TTTATTTATCATTACAATTGCTGTTACCATATTATTATCAAGGAGAAAGTCCATGTCAAGATCAAAACAAATAATTAATTTGTGCAACCTTATATGAAATTGCAAGTCAATCAAAAATTTTGTGAAATGTTCAGTGACTATATTATCTGTCAAAATCTTTGCTCTTCTGGTTGTTCTAGGTGAAGTATGTCTGGCACCCAAATTCATTTTTTCAATTTGTGTTCTTTTGGCAGGGTTACCTGCATTTGAATTGTCTTTTCTCTTGTGTGGTCCAGAAGACCTTCTTGCAGAGCCAGCACTATCACTACTGCCTTTGTCATTATCATCATCACTGTTTTCTCCATTGTCATGAAGATCTGGGCTTCTATGATTAATGTGTGCTTGTGCAATTACCCAAGCATAACACTGGAGTAGGGTTGGATTCATGCTGTCATGTTCAATAGTTGGTGATATGTATATTCCTTCATGTTCCTCCAGAAAAACCATGTTTGCTCATAAGTAGTGAGGAATCCATACTGCAATCCATTCAAACCAAGGTAGCCAAAAAGCTGCTGTGCTGACTTGATTATAGAAGTTGTTTCATGTATTTCATTTTTCATCACATTAGTCATGTCTTTTTGGTATTTTGAGGCAAGGCTGCCAAGAGATAAAACAGGCTTGAATTTCACCTCAATTGCAAAACGAATGACAGTTCCAGCAGTTTGAAAAAAGTCTGGCCTTCCCTGTACAAAACAGTACTCGTAATAAATCTACTTTACCACTAGACAGTTCTGTTTGTAACGGAGGGGCAGTATTGTGTCTGACTGTTGATGTATTAGTAGGCGTACCTGATTTGAGCAGAAGCTATAGTTATTATTATCTCTCATTAATTCTAGCCAGTGGTTTCATTTGCAAGTGAAGCTTGAGCATATCTCTACCTTACCTTTACCTTTATTTTTTTTCCCCGCGTCATTGTTTCACCTCGACTTCGACAAATGCGCGCTTATATCTTGCCGTGCTCAATTGCATCACATGTTGATGCAACACACGTGCTAATATTTGTCGTCACACAATATAATAATAATAATAATAATAATAAGTTTTAATTAGTGAGTGTTATACTGCCATTCAGAGGTAAATCAAACGGGTTTTGTCTCTGCTTTTATGAGCACATGAGGTTACTATAAAAACAGCAAAACCGTCAGAATCTCTCTTCATTCATACCTAACAATCATCAATTTAAATTGATTGATTACTTTGACTTAAACAATTTGAAAATGCCCACTTTCACTAGCGAATTTTATTGTGGATTACTGATCGGAATTCTCCTTGGCTTCATGCTTTATTATATACTCCACAAAAATAAACTTTACGTCATAAATCAAAAAATTGATCGAATAATCAATTTAATCGAGCCTACGAAAAGGCACAATAATAAACCAAGTAAACAATTCGGCGAACAAAGTTACTTACCAGACGTCGAAAAACTGTTGAAGAACTTTAAAAACTTGTTTGACAAAAAAGCTGGGCTGGATCCGAATTTTTCATTTAATCAAATGGCCGCTGAAATCCGCGAATTACGCAAAGGAAAAGGCGTTGCAGCCTCCACGTTGAAAAGTTTCTACAAACGAAAAACAAATCTGAGGAAGAGCACACTAAAAGCTATCGAAGAATGGCTGAATAAGAATAGAGAAATAGGATATGAAGACGTTAATAATAATGAAGCGTAGTATAGATTTTACCAGAGTGACCAAAGAATAGGTTATACTCACAAATGGCTTTGGGTCCGAGTATTTTCCTCCCATGCAATCACTCTGGTGCTTTTACTATTATTTATATTTTCAAGAGCGCGCATTCTATAATCGAAATAATAAAATTTATGCCTACGAAAAAATTGATTTATTTTTACATTGTTTGACTCTTTGATTGCATTGTGTCAAAGTAGTGAACGTGGTCAAAGCTCAACGAACGCATTCAAACAGTTCTTTATCAACAAGTCAAAAACTATAAGGAATGTTAAACTGCTTTCCCTTACCTGTCTTCTAATTTTCGTCTTTTTCTTGGTTCATCATAAGTTGGTGTTAATGTTCGTTTATTGTTTATTATTTTTCGTACTTCTTGGTAAATTTCATAAGTGATTTTTTCTTTATCTAGATATTCTTGGAGAGCTTTGGTATCATGTATTTATGGGGCAATTTTTTCACCCTGTTCTTTTTTTAGAATGCTTCTAATAGTGCTGTAATTCTTTGGTTCCATGGTGGATTTAATGTAAATTAGTTTCATATATTTTATTTTATATATAGAGATAATCCTATATTAATCATGTATAATTTTTAGATAGTAATAGAAGTTTGATACATAAAATTTGTGTTCAAGCGATTGCTGTGATAATCAAAATGTTATTAGTCAAATTCAGCCACATTTATGTCACATAATCAAATGTTCACTTTGTCTGGTTTTGTTGCAGTCTGCCCCAATAGGAATTATACTGCGACGTTAAATGTGTGGGTAAATGTGTGACCATAATCAGAATGTCAAAACATTCACATATTCTGTGTGACATTATTTAAGCAAGCGCCATGATTTCATGCGATAATTGTCATTAATGGTTAGTATTAGAAACGTTTAACGTATTAGATCGCATCAGAAGAACTAGATTATCTCGTACGACTATTGTTTAACTTTAATGGATGAAATGAGACGGATTTTCCCACCGGAAGAACCGTTCTCTCGACGACTATATAGAGCAAGCTTTGAAGAACGTAGGCATAGTACTTGCTTTACTTCCTTTTTCAACAAGCTTTTGCTTATTATCGTCAAAGAAATAAACACCAAACTTTTCTTGTTTAAAGTACGAGTCGAACAACATTAAAAATTTCTATATTAATAAACTCTCCTAAAAAACACCGTCCTTTCTCGTGCATTAGTTATTTAGTTAGTGACAGACGCGTATTCAAAATAAATTATTAGACGAAACGAGGATGGCAGAAAAATTGCATCTTCCATTTGAATTTGACGATAATGATGGGTTGGGTCCCTGGGACGTCATATTAAGTGAAGGTGCAATTAAGGACATAAGAAAATTGAAGTCATCGTCTGTAATAAAAGCTGTTGTAAAAAAACTGGGGCAAATATCATCGGGAGCTTGGGATAAGCACAGACTTAGACGCACTTCCCCATTACCCACTATTAACCCTGTCTATGAGGTGCTTCCTAATAATGACGGTCTGAAAATTCTTTGGCAAGTTGACTGCGACTTTTCCACTCGTAGCCATACGCTCACGCAACTTGTAAAAATCTGGGCGATTAGTGCAAGCAATGAGCGGATCAAAAAGACATTGGAAAGTCTCGCGATACTTCATCTAGTTTATACCGCCGAGCACAATCGCCTTTGTGTAGTTCGGCGGGCGGGCAAAAATGGCATCATTTTACCATGCATTATTGATGGTGACGAAGAGACAAAGTCTGTAACGGACATACCCTGTGCATCCATGATTAACAGGGAGAGCCTACTAGAGGTGCACAAAATGCTCGTGACGAATAAGTTTATTCCATTATCGAAGGTACTTATCCATGAAATTAGACGGCGATCATGTTATATCTTACAATACGTAGCTTAACAACAGACGTCTAATTATTTTGTATTGCAGAGCTTGTTTAAATCCCTTATTACAGGCGGTGCAGAGTTTACGTTTCAAGTATCTAAAACCGAATATGAAATTATCCAAAACCGTACATCAACTATCATCATTGGTCGATCTGGTTAGTCTTCTTGCTGCCAACATTTTATTACGGAAAGGCTGACATTCATAGTCTCTAAATTACATATATATGGTATTTAGGGACCGGAAAGACCACCTGTATCGTGTTTCGTTTAGTTGCGTCATGTTTGCCAAAATACCCTAGTAACTTGCCGTCCGCACGTGGCGATGAAGAAAATTATCGCAAGAATCAGATATTCATCACAATGAGCCCCAACCTGTGTCTCCGGGTCAAGGATTATTTCAATCGGCTGAAAGATTCCGTGGAATTGGCCGGAAAAAAACTTTCTGAATCTCAGTTTTCTGAGTTTATAAAGAAGAAAGAGGGTGGCGTCGACGTCACTACTAATAGCACAAAGCACAAAGATGGAGACATTCCAATGTCATTCCGTCAATTGACGGACGACCATTTTCCATTATTTATAACCTACGATATATTTGCTCAAATGCTGCAAGCGACGTATGAAATTGATTTTCAAGAATCGATCACACGATTAGAACTCGAAGAAGATGATGACGACGAGTTCTGCAGAGGGTCTTCCTTTACTAGGAAATCTAAAGCAGCTTGGGTGCATCACATCGATTTTAACCTCTTTCAGAAAAAGTATTGGCCCCATTTCAGCAGACAAGGGTTAGATTGTTGGATGGTATTTTCCGAGATTTCTGTCATCAAGGTATGTTATCATGTATAATCTCCATAGCTACCGAACATTTTATTAGATTTTTTTTTTCGTTCTCGTTAAGGGCACCAATCCTGAGGGCGTCTTTTTGTCAAGGGAAGAATATCGAGACGTCAGCACGAAAAAATACCCAGCTTTTCGCTATAATCGCGACTCAGTTTACGATTTATTTGAACATTATGAAAAGATGAAGGCACGGTTTCATGATTATGACTCTATCGATAGGTAAGAGCGATGGTGTGGATTGACAGTATTTTAAACTTTAAATTAAAATTCTCAATTTATTTTGTAGAACGATAGCTATTTTACGCCGTGCCAAAACAGAACAACTTGGTTGTTTGCATGTTCATGAATTGTACATAGATGAATGTCAGGATAACAGCATTGTGGATTTCTCCCTCATGCTAAAACTTTTCGATCGTGCTGAAAGCGTTTTTTTGGCAGGAGATATAGCACAATGCATCGCACAAGGATCTTCTTTTCGATTTCAGGGTAAAGAACGGTTTAGTTTAGTCTTTCTTTTATGTTCGGCTGTATTAATAACCTAAATTTTATACGTTTTGTATAGACATACGCGCCTTGTTGTATCAATGGGAAATTGACCGAAGACAAACATATCGTGAATTATACAATGCAGTAAAACCAAAGCAATTCGAATTGAATATTAACTATCGTTCACACGATGGAATCCTACAACTTGCGTCGTCGGTCATCGATCTCATTTGGCATTTTTTCCCCGATTCTATTGATCGGTTATCGTGTGAACGCGGTGAAGTGGGGGGCCCACTGCCTAATGTCTTTAGTGGGTTCCAGGCGACCCCTTTCTTTTTAAATGTTTTTTCAAAGGGGGAGGGGGAGGATAATAGAATTGAATTTGGAGCTGAACAAGTTATTATAGTCCGTGATAAAACAGTTAAGCCCAAAGTAGAAAAGTTAATTGGCGATAGTGGAATAGTGATGACAGTGTTCGAGTCAAAGGGCATGGAATTTAACGATGTATTATTGTATAATTTCTTCACAGACTCACCTGCGGGGTTGAAGGTAAGACTTAATACTCGTTTCTAATACAATGTATACACTCATTCATCGAGTTCGTCGTTTTTGTAGTGGCGTATGATTCTTGCCGCACTCGATAATTCCTCTGAGGGAATTCCAACGTATACCCACGAAAAACATTATATCCTTTCTTCAGAACTTAAACATCTTTATGTCGCGATAACCAGAGCGCGGCAACGCATTTGGATATGTGATGAAAATGCCGACCAGAGTGAGCCAATACAAGAATATTGGGAACAGCGCGGATTAATAAATAGGGTTCAAAAAGTGGACGAAATCGACTTGCGGGTCCTCGCAAGGCAAAGTGACAGCTTTGAGTGGGATGCGAAAGGAACGGAGTTTTTTGAACAAAAAAAGTTTGTCCAGGTAAATAAAACAAGTTCTTAATTTAATTGCATAAATGTACTGGAGCTAACTGAATTTATTTCAGGCTGCTTTCTGCTTTGGAAAAAGTGGAAATATAGTAAGTCAGGACTTGGCCAATGCACATTGTCTTTGGCAGGAAGCTAGGGAGCTTGCTAGGACCTCCATAAATGATTCTAACGAGGACGCTGTAAGAGAGAATTTTAAACGTGCAGCTGTTGCCTTTAATGGCTGTAACAAACCGTCTGAGGAAGCTTCATGCTATGAGGTATAGAATTTAGAATTTGGATAACGTTGTTGATATCATACTAAGATTTTGGCACTTTTAAACTAGGATATTGAAATGTTTAAAGAAGCTGGTGATGTTTATGCCAGATGTGACATGAACGACCTCGCTGCGAGCTGTTATTGTCAGTCGCATATGTGGGACGAAGCAGGAAAACAGTTTGAAAAGGCGAAGAGATACGTTAAAGCTGTTGATACGTATGAAAACGGTCGTCATTATTATGCCATATTCGAATTGACACGAAGGTAAGCATCATTGATTGATATCATTTATTAATTCTTTGAGAGAAAAGCTGCAATCAAGACTTAAATGATTTTTACGATGTCAAGGCACAAAGTAGAATTGGACAAGAAGACGCTTAACGATTTCATAGCACGTGTCTATAAACATTATCGTCATAAGGAAACGAACATGAGTGAAGAGGCGCTCTCCCTTATTCCAACAATAGTGGAACAAATCGAGTTCCTAAAAGAGTATGTGCCGGAAGATCTTCTGGATTTCTATATAAAGAAGGGCCTCTTTCACCTTGCTGCCGAATACCAATACTCGTTTGGTAAATTGAAAGAGGCCTCGGATTATTTTATCCAATCGAAAAATGACGAAGACAGTATTAAAGCGTTGCGTTGTATCCTGCATCTGTGCAGTATCAACGTACTGAGGGAGGCAATGACGGATAATACAAGTTCAAATGCTCGACAAAAGCTATTGGATTTACTTGACAAAACCAAGTTCACTAGAGGAATTAAATCACCACGATTAATGACGTCCCCACAGTGGACAATTCTTCTGAAAGAAGTCCAATTATATTCAGCTTATTTGGATCGAGACCTCGACAAAATTTATGATTATATACAATTCTTCAGAGCTCGCGAAAACTTTGCGATCGAATTTTGCGCGATAAGTATGTGGCTGAACGTTCCACATGATAATATTCAGGCTGAATACTGGTGTAGACGATTACAGCTTCTGCTGAGGCTGTCTGAGTTGACCGTTCGTTTTGTAAATACTGATCGACAAGAAAAAGATTGTACGGTTTTCGAGTATGTTTTTTCTGTAAGCAAACTGAAAGATCGCCCATTGAAGCGACAAATTTTTTCTCAGAATCTACTTGTAGACAGATTACAGGCCAAAAAGAGAGAAGATCTGGGTGATTGGCATATTTATCATAAAAATGACATAGATCGAGCAATGGCACAGTCTCTTGCTAATTATGTCTATGAGCTCATCCGGCAAGCTAGCAATAAGGGTAAAGAAATTCCGATTATAGGTCCTTATATCTGCTACCAATCATGTCTAAACCCAGATGGCGAAACGCACCATGCGAAACCGGGGCAATCAGTTTTATACGATCGTCTGACGCTATCATATTCTCAGTACACCGTAGCCAGACAATTACGAGAATTGCGAAAGCTAGACGAAGTTTATAATTACGAACTTCTCGATAAGCGACAAGCTGGTTACCAAAAGTGGTGGGCTGAGTATCTAGTTAAACTTCATGTTCGCCTTCAGTCGCCACAGACAGGTTATCCAATGGTTGTCCAGAAGATAGTTGACAGACAACCTGATTATATACGCAAGGATTTTATTGATTTTGTCTATAATAAGTTGCTATGGCGAGGGAATGAGTTCAAGATAAATGACTTTGCCGGCATGTTAAAATACATGTTTCTTTATCAGCAGTTACGGAAAAAAGGAGATTTTGACAAGTTCCATCGAGAAGTGTCAAAAAGGCCTTTAGTCAGTAGCGATCCTCCAATTGGATTTATCTGTTACGAAGGCGAACTTATCACAGTTGGGAAGCTGCTCTCCCTGGTTTTCTTCGATCTAGAAAAGGACAAAGGAATACTTGCAATTAGACATGCAAATGCATTTATCCGTTATGCCATAGACAACACCGACAAAGTAAACCTTATTATGCCCGATTCACTTAAAGACCTCATGTCTCTTGGTGATCTTACGTCTCTTGTAGAGTTGACGGCTTCTTTGGTGTTTGCTTCGAAGCCCGGATGTTGCGATTTTTGCATTCCTCTAGGCCATTTGATTAATTATTACAAGAAGTTCAACGTCAATGTACTCTTTCCGTACAAATATACCAAACAGGAAAGCATTGACGAATACTACAAGGAGCTCGATGACTCACTTGATCAAGCTCGATGGCTTCTCTCTAAATTATTTAATATAGTCCAGATTTATTGGCCAGTTATCTCTTTGCCGAAAATTTCACAGATCATTCTTCGATTGATACGGCTTCTGGTATTAATCGCGATCAACGAGTCCGATTTGAAGGAGAAAGTCTTTGATTGTTTTAATGATCTGAGCGAACAACCTCATTCCGTGAGGTATAAGGACTACCTGAAGGAACGAAATATAGAACGTCTTATGCAAATTCTGTACGATGACCTCAATAAGACAAGTAGCGATTCCCTGGTTGTTGTGTATTACGATACTGGAGACTCCTCGAGACATAAGAATTTAGATGCTCTGATGCTTAAGTATAAAACTACAGAGGAATTTCATTCTTCCCTCGAACGGATCATATTCTCAGTAGTTAGTGGGAAACGGCCAGTTACTGGTTGCGATCAATGTCTATCGCACAGACTCGAATGTTCTAGCCGCGCTAGCGAACCAACACCCGCCGTTAATCCACAGTCTTCCGGAATGGCCGCGATTGAAAATGAAAGTTCGTTTTAATTCTCGTGATGCATCCTTGAAACGTCCTACGATAGAAAGTGGCCATGAAACTGTAATAGGATATATTTTTATGATCCTGTTACGAGAAATGCTGTCGATCGTTGAAATTATTTAAGGGATAATAATAAGGTATCATAGAATATATGAATTCCAAGTCGACTAATGAGATGAGTTGCTCTTTCGCACAGATAATATATGTTACAAGTAACGTAGCATACTGTAATTACTTTAATTTATGTATTTTCTGCGATATGGGGCCTTTTTTAGCATCAGTGGTCGCTGTTTACTCACAGCCATTTTGGACTCCTCAAACCCCACTTTTCGCCCCCGTCATTTGGCACTTTTCGTTAATCCCACATTCAATTGTAGAAATTTAGCCCTGTTTTTCTATTGCAATAAAAAGTCGGTGGACGTCCTATATTTGTAATAGTAACGACAACGTTGAATGATGATTACGCGCATGCGATTGAATCATATATGGTAAAATCTTTAAGCGAACCCATAATCATTTAAATTTTAAATCAACACTATCGCTATTAGTAATAGCGAAATTTTCACCAAATTAACCTTTCCTAATTAGATCGCCGTAGCCAAGGACGCAAATCACCGATACTAATACGTAGTAGTAGTAAATTAATTAAATTTATTGTCTACAATTATCTTATTTATTAGGAGTGCTGGAAAAAAAATACGCGTATAAGGAATATGCGTGAATTTATTCTCTTTTATTCTTCGACTAAGAATTTATTAGTTGTTCTAATAATAGTTCTATTGTGCTGCCTGAAACTGTCTATTTCTCAAGACTAAGATAAGCCAGCTTACGGAAGTTAGAGTAACATCTAGCTGTAGGTTAAACAGACGCTGGAGTATCGTCGATCATCGATGCAATTTCTTTATGTATTAACCAGTCTATACCTCAACAATAGGAGATAAAAGAGCCGTCTTCAAGAATTAGATATGCTTTAATTGACGCAAGCGTGTAAACAAGACCAAGCTTTAGAACTAAATTTTGAAAATGTCCCGCCGGTCAAATTTGTGACCAAACTATTCAATTGAAACAAAACTTTACCGTGATATATATTAGGACAGGCTTATTACTCGCTAAATAACAGTTGGCACACATGTTGTCAGGCTGTGCTTCTAAGAATACAAAAAAAACTTGGTAGAATACCAACAGAGTAATTGCAATTCGGAATAACATGTGTTATTACTATCGCTAGACACAGAAAATACTGAATTTTGACTTGCAGCCCGGAGTCTGGTCCGTCGCGTTGTTGTTGTTCCGACAAAATTAATAAAAACAGTCGTTTTTATTTCGAATTATGCAAGTTTGTTGAAGCAGAATCAAATTAATACAGTGGTAACATATATATGGTTTTTTCAGTTCTTAAACGCGGATATACACAAATCGAATAGTGATAATTCTATTAGTAAACATACTAATACAAGTAATGAAAAAAATTAAAAATTTCACCCTGAACACCAGCGTCAGATAACTCATTTTTCAACATCGTGAGCGATCTTCGTCGTTATTTTCATTAAACATGTGAGCTCTAACTCCCGCAACATGATTGCATATTTTATTAAGAGTGTAAATGTTGATCTATCGCGAATGCTTCATTGGTAGGGCCAATATCCTCAAGGACTGGTTGGACTGCAAACGTTTCAGGTCTGGGTCTCAGTTCATAAAATGAAACGCAAATCATTTATCGTTCTTGGTATGGTTAGACCTGTATATCTGATGGTGTCTTTTATTTCGAAGACGCATTTTTCCGAACAAAAAATATAATAATATATTTTATTTATTTTATGATCACGTGCTTGGCCAAATGTCTACTTAGTTTACTAATAATACTTTTTTATCATTCATTCCGCGTGCTTTTCTTGGTCATGAAAGTTGCCGCATTTGGGCGCAGCTGATACAATATGCATCTTTTGCATTCAAAGCAAATGCAGCGAATAAGTAACCCAATTAGCCACTATGAGAGCGTATTGGGGGGTAGGAGCGTGCTGATTACGACGATTTGTCAACCAAAAGTTTGCTCAGGGTCTTTTTGTTCCATTAACATTTATCACAAGAACAACTCGATTTATTGGTTGATGCGAACATTTATTGGTCAACGCTCTTCAATATCAATACTTAGCCTGTCCCGTATAAACCAAGCTTTCTAGACATTTCACCCTCATTCTTAGCTACTTACTTCTCGCTTATATTCACTTTTCAAGCTGTCTTGCTCGTGACTGTGTAGTGCTACTAGAATTATCCCCACAACCTTGCCCGTCAGGGGCTATTTTAAGTCTCTTCCAAAATGGGTCTTCAACTTTACGATCTGGTGGTATTCTTCTTCAGCGTCGTTATAGATATATTCTTCCGGGAGATCAGACCACGGGGCTCTCATAAAATACCCGCAGAAGGGCCTATCATATTTGTTGCCGCGCCTCATGCCAATCAGGTAATTGCACATGAAATATCATGCTATTGCTTTCTTTAAAGAAACACAACAATGCTATAATGTGTGGACTGTAAGAGACTGGTTTCAGTACTCTATACTGTACGCATGTATGGAATTCAATAAGCTTTCCCTGAGAATTAATGAATTTCTCCACTGATCGTCGATCAAACTTATTGAACGAAAATTATAATCATAACGTTTGCTTCATGCTTGTCTAGTTTGTAGATCCACTGATTCTTATGAGACACAGTTGTCGACGTGTCTCTTTTCTTATAGCGGCAAAGTCAATGAAACGTAAATATATTGGTACAATGGCGCGTGCATTACAAGCTAGTAAGTAGATGATGTATCCTTAAATCCATTAAGAATTTTCCTCATACAGCTATTATCGAATTGATTAAGTAATGCAAAACACTTTGCTTAGTTCCTGTAACCAGACCTCAGGATCTCGCCAAGCCGGGCACAGGAAAGATTCAGCTGTTTGATAGAAAGTCTGATCCTACACGCATTGTTGGCATTGGTACTCGGTTCACTAAAGAATTGGCTGCTAGATCTCAGATTAGTTTACCCAAAAATCGGGGCATTTCCGAAGTAGTGACGATCATATCAGATACCGAATTGATTGTTAAGAAAGAATTCAAAGATCTGAAGGCGTTGGAGATGTTAACGAAACCGGAGGGATCCGAATATTACTGCATACCTCATATAGATCAAAGTCAAGTGTATAACGCCGTATTCGAGACGTTGAACGCCGGAAGATGTATTGGAATATTTCCAGAAGGTGGAAGCCATGATAGAACCGAGATAATGCCATTGAAAGGTATTTTTATCAAGTGTAAAGAGAAGATTGTTGATTTCATGTTTCATATTGTTTCATTGTATTGTCTTCTTTTTTATAACTCGTATGATGCTTAGCCGGTGTATCAATAATGGCACTCGGTGCAATGGCTGCTAACCCTAATCTTGACGTAAAGATTGTCCCTTGTGGTGAGCTATACTTTCATTCGATAATGAGCTATCGGTGAGAAACGGTAAGCAAAAAATGACTGACATATCAAATACTTGCACAAGGTCTCAACTATTTCCATGCTCACCATTTCCGATCACGTGCGGTTGTTGAGTTTGGTGCACCGATATCAGTACCCAGAGAACTAGTACAAAAGTATAATAAGGGTGGTACTGATAAGAGGGAAGCGTGTGGAAAACTGCTGGATACTATATATAACGGCCTGGTATCGGTCACCGTAAATACACCAGATTACGAAACCCTTATGGTAAATATAACGGCTCTTTATAAATATGCGGCTCTCGCGTTTTGATTCTGACGGCTTTGTAATTTTTAGGTTATCCAAGCAGGGCGCCGGCTATATAAACCAGCCCATCGTAAACTGCCTATATCTCAAGTTGTGGAATTGAATCGTCGATTTGTCGAAGGATATTTACATTTCAAAGATGATCCAAGAGTACAAGAGATACGAAATAAAGTCATGCAATACAACCAGTTATTAAAAGATTATGGTCTCAAGGATCATCAAGTTAATAAGACTGGGTTGGGTGGAGGTAGAGCTGCCGGTCTTTTATTATATAGAATACTAATTCTATCAGTTTGGACTATCCTGGGCCTGCCTGGGTAAGTAAATTCCCATCTTCATGTCTGAAAATTTTAACATGAGCACTCATTAACACATGGAATATTTTAGCTTCATTTTGAATCTCCCGATTGTACTGATATCCCGTTGGATAAGTAGTCACAAGGCCAAAGGTTAGTAGGCGTTGTTGCCTGTGCATATTGTATAATCTACGATTAACACGCGTCCTATGATATCTCTTTATGTAGAGGCTGTTGCTGCATCGTCCGTCAAAGTTGCAGGTCGTGACGTAGTAGCAACATGGAAGGTTCTCGTCGCTCTTGTAGTTACACCTGTTTTGTATGGATTCTACGCGTTTATTGTCTTGTTTCTATCATTCAAATATGATTGGCCAATAAAGTGGAAGATATACGGTCCTATATTATCCTATTTCTTAATGATGACTGGAAGCTATGCAACAGTGCGTTTACTTGAAACTGGACTCGATATCTATAGGTAGGTAGTGGCATTCGATGAAGCTTGATATGAAAACGCTTGCGGAATTAAAATTCTCGTTCTGAATTAGATCATTACGGCCATTGTTCCTTTCTCTGCTACCCGGAAATCAACCATCTATTCAAAATCTACGACATGAACGAGAAAAATTATCGCAAGATCTCACTGCACTCATAAATGAATACGGCCCAAAGATATACGACGACTTTGACGCAGAGCGGATAATACAAGCAAGCAAACAAGGATCAAAGACACCAAATAGGCAGAGTCTTTTCAGCTCTCCTGTAAACTGGCTTGATGATAAGGTTTTCAACTGGGAACGTGCCGCAGATTCAGAATATGATGACGTATTCTTCTTTATGGATAAACAAAATGGAGGAATTACTGGACGCAGTAGAACCAGTTCGTGGGCCGCCAGCGGAGCCAGTTCGGCATCGCGTAGTCGTACAAACTCTTTCGGTGCTGAGACAATGAGAGTAGAATCGTTGACTCAATTGCCTAGAGATAAACCATTTTCGGAAGTAAATGGAAGGGGTCTCATTCCGCGTGTTGAAGTACATCATGTCGATGAGGATACCGGGTATCAGGGTGATAAAGAAGACGGGTTTACAAAGAAGACTCAGTAGTGATTGATCTATTAATATATCTATGTACATTTCTGGTAAATTTTGTACAATTACACCAACAAATAAATGTATTTCGAACAATATTAGAGAACAAATAAATGTATTTCGAACAATATTAGAGTTAGTCTCGCATGCTTTGCGTTTGCATTTCTTAAAGAATATCTGTGAACATTTGTTTTATTTTGTTGATTTTTTTTTATTTCTCAATTTTCTTTTTCGCTCCAGTTGTTGTCAACACAAAACTCAATGAAATATTCAAGTTGTAGTATAAAAGTAGGGTGATTTGTAAATGAAACTATCTTCGTCGAAGTATGATCCATCCAACGAATGGAGAGGGAAACAAACAACTGCATAAACACGCATATAGAAAGAAACCGATCACAAGAAGATAATTGACTAAACGATTCGGGTAGTATTAATTATGTGCAATGCAAATATTAAAAAAATTTAGTTAGCATGTGAGTCTTTCAAGCCTTTGATCAACTAGCGATAATAAATAAACACATACCTAAATTGGAATCTACTGAACATCAATGGCTTGTCCACCAACTTTGACATTTCGATTAAACATTACCATCTTCTCTAACATGCGACCCAACGAATGTTTTGTGGTCTTGGTGACTTTCTTTGGACCCTCAACTACATAATTCGCAGACTGAGCGTTCGGGTGACTCTTATCAGAACTTCTCCTGTGAGGAAATCTTGATGGCGAAGAAGGATCAGCATATGGTTCATGGTTATGGGGGGGGACCCTGGATCTCAGCGGAGCGGCCAAAGGTAATTCCCTCCGACGAACATGGTCTGTTGCGCCATCAGTATTGACAAATGATTTCTCATTTGGAGAACGAGAAATGCTCTTAGCACGAGTGCGGCGAGGGAATGAATGGTTAACTGGCCAGGAGGGTTGATTATCGACATGACCAGATTGCTTAAAGTTAGTGAATCCAGACCCAGGTAGACGCTCTTGACCCCACCAATCACGATGTTTTTCCTGATGCTTCTCGTGTTGTCCTTGTTCTTCCTTTTCTTTGCGTCTTTGTTCCAGACGTTCTCGTCGTTGATGGTAGGATGACCAATGGCTATTAGGACTGGTAGAGTAGTCATTAGCTGCTTCACGCTGATGTCCGCGAGCCCGTTGCTCACCCCAAGGTCGAGGTTTGCAGTAAATGACTTTTGCCTGAGAAACTGTAGAAGACTCCTTGTTAGTATTCCTGTCTCGGATGCGCATAGACCCCGAACTATAATCACGAGGTCGTCGCTTGGTGGAACCGTCGTCAGAACCGAAACCAGAGTCTGTATCGCTACTATTCGAAAGACCGTCTTCATCCTTGGTGGGATGTTCGAGATCTTCAAAAGAAACTTTTCTTGAATCTTTCTGTTTGATGTTTTCTTTCTCTTTTTCAAGTCGAAGCAAGTCCTCATCGTCGTTGAAAATAACAGGAGCAGAGAAATCCATCTCTTCGAATTCCTCATCAACAGCATCGGACCACGACTGTTTCCGGTCGTGATTCTCATAGTTATCAGTAAGTGGTGTCTTATTAAAGTCAGAAGCTGCCCACTCCTTAGTAACGATAGCATCAGTTACGATAAGTTCTTCGTCAACATCTTCCGAGAGCATCCTTTCTACCAAATACTTGCACCAAATTTTCCATTCCTTAATGCTGACACGGGACTCTTCGAAACAGAAAACGCGATCTGCTAAAAATCGGGCAACTTTTTCGGGCATAGTCGGAAACCGTTGCCTCAAGAAGGCGATTTTATCAAGTTGAAATTCTGCAAAAGATTTGCATTCGGTCTCATTAGGGTCCGTCCACGGTGAACGATGGTACAAGAGATTCAAGAATATGATGCCCAATGACCAAACGTCAGCCCGACGCGGGTTGTACGTCTTGCGAACGGGATTACGACATTCTGAGTACAAATTACAAAGAGATTAATATCGAAAAGCTTGTAATGAATAACATCATAAATCGCATTCACGGGTGTACTTACCGTAGCTCATGTAGGGCTTTGAACCACATTCGAAATCTACAGACTCAATCTCGTCGGTAGCCAAGCCAAAGTCCGTCAGTTTCACATGAATACTATTTTTGCCATTTTTGCCATTCTTCGTAATGACAATGAAATTCTCTGGTTTCAAATCGCGATGTGCAATATCGTTGTCATGGCAATGACCGACTGCCTCCAGGATTTGCTCAAAGATCTGTTTCACAACTTCGAGATGTGCTCGTGAAGAGTAGTAGAGTTTTGCGATCGTATCGTTGCTGTTGCTCTGCGTAAGCCAATAATATAGGTCTTGACCTTCACAGTATTCAAGAACGAGGAATAGCCAATCTCTGGTTTCGAACGAATAGTTAAGTGTGACAAGATTCTCGTGCTTGACTCTACCAGAAGTAAGTCGTTGATGGAGTGTTGCCTGGCGTGGAATAATGAACAATATTACATCAGTCAACTGCAAGCAGTCAGAACAGCTGTTTAATATAATAAAGTATCTTACCTCATTTCTCTGCACTGACAAATGGTATTCGGACAAATTTGCTTTGGACAAACATTTGAGAGCGTACAATTTATTATCCTTGCTACTGTGGACCATGTATACAACAGCATACGATCCATTACCCAAGGGCTGTATCAATCTGTAAGTAACATCGTGAGAAGAGTCATGTATGGTAGATCCAAGCTCGAAAGGCATTACTGTTGGTGAGAATAGCGCTCGCCAATTGTAATCAATATGTTCTGTAACAGAAACAGGTCTGATCGGAGTGGAAGAAGATCTTTTAAACATCATTTCGTAATATATAATGTCCGTATAGATTAGACTGGCTAATTTGGATGTCGTTCTGTTTTGTTAATTACTTTTTTTCTGGGGGGTTTTTTTGTAAATATATAATTTTTTTTGCGTGTTTACGGGAGCAAAGATAAAATATTGATGTTAATTATAGTTTTGCTTGCTTCAAGAACCGGCTTGAGTTTGCTTTCAAATGGACCGAAGTCCGGAAGGCTTATTATAATGCAACGGTTGAATAGAGTGAGAATAATCCTGAGAGTTTGAGCTGACTTGTTACACTGATAACGTTAGGAGAGAAACTTTTGTCGAATGCTTGCTGAGGGTTTTGTTACTGTCGATTTGTTGATGTTGTCGTCCTGGTTGTGGTTGTGGTTGTGGTTGTTGCTGCAAAGATTGGTGTAAGATAGCACTGATGAAACAGATGATTCCTGTTTTTTTGCTGTCGATGAAAGCGTGGCTTGATTGAATGAAATATTGAGCATCTTTTACGATAAGGTTCCTCTTTTAAAACGCCATACTGACCAAAGCCAGCAGTAGATAAAAAGAATAGAAGAAAATAAAATAAAAAGCGAAGGGGGAAAGAAGTAAGGGGAAAGGGAGGTATGTATAGAATGATATGTATAATTGGCTATATTACAGAATAAAAGATAAATCTTTTAAGGGCGAAGATGGGTGTAATAAATGTAGTAAAATAGTTGTAAATAAGTAGAATATTGAAAAGACTGGATAGGAATCGTGGTTATTAGAATTGTTATGTTTGAAGCACGATACCAAATGAAGAATGTCTGGAGTTTAAAAGAGTGAGAATGTTCGCATTACTATAAGAACGTAGTTGAACTGTGAACGACAGACCAACTAATAATAAAATACTTGATTATGTGATGAACTTTAGAACATTATTTGTTTGCCAGGAAGCAAATTCTTCACGTTGCCACTACAGTAACTACAGACTAACAGAACTCGACACAGACAATCTGACAGCCGGCTACTATTAATGCGTGTTAACGATAATTGGGAGCTGAATACCGACCGCGTTCCGTATAATTGGTTCTCTTTCTGTTCTTCTCTTGGCTTGTTTTCGGCAAGACTGGTTGACGTGGATAGACTAACAGCAACCAGAAAGTGTCGACCAAAGGAGTGAGGGGACGCTTTATTTGGACGAGTGTAAATTCTCTTAGTCGCTGTCAACTCGGGAAATCCGTCCGGCACTGTTACATACACGCGTTGAAGATTGTCAAATAGGTGTTGTTATAGTTTGGGTGGCGCGGCGTAGGGGAAGGTGTGTGTTGCGGGAAGGAGAGGGAGGTGGAGCGTGGAATGGTCCAACATGTATATATCGAGAATAACCCAAATAAAGTAAGTAGAATACCGAATATGGTGGTTAGTAATCTATATGAAAGGGGTGACTCACAACGTCGGGGTAACGACACTTTGTGCGTTTTGGTTCCCACCCTCCCGCCGACGTTGTTCTCGATTATATATTTAGTAATATGATAATATGTAAGAGTGTTTACAGGCTGAGCACTGAATAGAGAGTGTTTACAATAAACAGTAAAAATAAGAGTATGCAATGCAATGTGTGTATGATAAGAGTTAAACACACCACGGCTGACGACAGCAAGAGTCGGCAATAATAGCAAAACTATATTTATACTAATACTAATATACATACTATACTATCGGCTATGGAACATTCTTGTCCTTGATTTTGACGTTATTTCCTTCTCTACTACTACTCGTTTTCTGACCTGTTCACACTCTAGATATTATTATCTTACTACAATGCAGAATAAAAAGTAGAAAAAAGTACCGATTATTCCGACGCAAACAAACGACACCACAAGAAAACTCTCGAGTTTGGCGAGGAAGCGAGAGAATGAAAGGGGGGGAAAGCGAAAGAGGAGAGAGAGAATAGAGAATAAAACTCCTTGCAGGGAGAGAATTCTCCTTTAAAGGAGTTCCGTTTATTTAATGTTTTTTTTTTTATCTTGTTTGTAAGCGACACACAACAACTCAGAGCAACAGTAGCTGTGTGAGCTTGTGGTTTGGTCCCTCTGGAGAGTCGAAGACGCAAATGCTGATTGGAGAGGATCCCAAATTGATGAGTGCAAAGTCGGTGGAGGGTTATTTATCGAGTTTTTTGATAAAATTGACCAATGACGTTGTATTGTTGAGAATGTAATTACAAATATAATTTATACTGATGATATTAATATATATATTTATATTAATTATATCATATCGCATATTGTGTAGTATACATTTCATAATTGTACTACATGTGACTTGAGTTATTTCAATCTCCTTATTCATATGGCACTTGTTAGTTCATTACAGTACGCGGTACTCCTTATCGGTCCATGTAGTCCACGCCATCCTCGATGAGTCATGGCCACATTCCAGTCATCGGATCACTTCCCACAATCCCTCTTTTCTCGGTGACACACCTTATTTACTAACAAATCTTGGGACGTTGAAAAAGGCATTGCTATTAACCGCTGTATACAAGAAAATTCGGTACAGATTTGTGTCTGCGGCGAAGCAGCATATGGGGAAGCGTTACATCGCTGTAAGAACTACGTTGTCCCCAAAAAACGACGAATTACCGTGTGTCATGCCTGCAGAATTACCCTGTTTGACCAACTCTAATTTATGTCAATGAGGAGAAACAATCAAAATATATAATACAACAATAACTGTAACAATGATGACGATTCCCAAATGACACTGCAACAATGATAACAAATTTAATGTTAATAATAGTAATAGATATTTTTAATACATAACATAAAAGTTCCATAAGGACCAATTATATTCCGTATACTTATTTATGTTATATTTTAACATCGCAAACATTCTTTTGTGTTCTGTGTTACCCACATTTTATACAAAACTGCAACATACATAATGTAACAAATTTGTTCGCAAAATGTTGGCATGTAGCAGTCAGTCGTGGATGATGTTCCCCACAAGCACATGTTAAAATAGCGATTAACTCTTTTCATTCGGGCGTACGAGTCTCGTGTTCGATCGACATTATGGTGGAAATCCTCTATTTAAAGAATAAGAATGACTATTTAAACGGATTTTCATTTATTATAACCATCATAAATTGTGAGATGTCTCCTTTATCAATATTATAATCACGTGATGTTATTCTCTTCTCATAAAACAGAGACGCCCGTTTTCCGTGCGAATGCATGAAAGACAATGCAGAATGTGTCAGAACATAGAGGCTAACGGTCTAAGAAAACCAACTCCTGCTTTTTGAAAAAGTACCCCCTTCTAGAGCGCTGAAAACAAGGCTCCGCGTCTTTAGAATAGTTTCTAGATGTTCTTTGTATATTTTTTCAGTAAGTCTCTCACTTCTTCTTCCTTACGAGCATTATTGTAAAAATGTTGACAAGTATCACATAAATCTGTTCTTGGACTAGTGATTTGAATTTGAGCATCAGTTGATGCTATAACTTGCGAAATGCTTAATATTTTAGCAATTTCAAATGCTATTGTCTTCAAGACCTGCGATAGACCGATTTGTAGCTCGTTTTTGCTGGTAAAATAAGCAATTGGGTGATGTTTCTACCAGGGCTTGGTAAACCGTGAACTTCAACATAGTTTTCACTGATGTTAATGTAGCAACATTTTTGTCAATTACCATTTTGGTTTTTCATTGAGGCATTCTTTGATATTGTCATGTTAATTAAATGGTTTCTCATATTTGCAAAGTAAGTTCTGCCGATGCCAAGCAGAGATAAATTTCTTGACACAGAGGTCTGTTGTGATTCCAGCAATAGAAAGTTTTTTTAAGACGTCTGCTGGTTCAGTGTGAACGCGATGGACTAAACACAGGGTTCTTCTCATCATCGCTTCATTATGGGCCTGTGTGATACGAATCATAATTATATTACGCGTACGACTCGTCACGATAACCACGTTTTTGATACACTTGGAGTTCCAGCGTTTTCCGATTATGCCAATAACAATAATATAATTTTCGTCTAATTGTAGTATAGGGATCTTGTCATCCTTCCAGTCTCAGAATGCTGCGCTGTTGCTGCGACGACGCTGTTTTTTTTTCAGGGCTCGCATATTCGTCAGGAAATACCTTATTCCGCTGAAAATCGAAAAACTCAGTAAAAGTATTATATGCTGTCTAGCTGCTCAAAATATATATTGGTCAGTGTCTGTTTATATAACAATTGACAGATTATATCGCTGATAGCATTTACTCTCACTATCGCCTAGCTTACAAGTTGAATAAATAAATAAATAAATAAATAAATAAATATGCGCTAAATCTAGCTACCGTATTTCTAGCAAGGGACACAATCTACATTAGGAATAAGATCTTACGTCTAGCTAATAGAAAAGAGTAAAGTGGCTTGGGATATCGATTGACTACGGAGATATGTAGGCATCATTTTAAAAAAAAAAAAAAGGCCGAAAAATGTGACTTTACTACGAAACCAACGAGACTCCTGGTGTATCCTTTTGCAAATGTAGCAAACATCACAATTCATGCACACATATTCATTGGCGATTACAGAATTATTATAATGGAGTCGATTAGGATCAAAAACAAGAAGATTTATAGTCATCACAAATACATGCAAAATTGTACGCACGTTATATATAATACGTGTTCATTATGTGTTGCCATCTTTAAATCTACGGCGTTTTAACGGAAAGAAATGAAAATCGGGGCTCAAAAGGCGAGAGAATAAAAAGATCGCTAAAATAGACGGAAATAGAAATAAAAAGCAAATTTTTTGACCCTGTTCTTTTTTAAATGCTTCTAATAGTGCTGTAATTTTTTGGTTTTACTGAAGGGTTTTTTGTGAATTTGCCAAATTACCCCTTTTGTTTTAAAATCTCGATTTTTACAGACCATTTACGGAACGACGATTTTTGTACCAATTCAATTTTACAATCCCTTTCTATTTGCATTGCATCTATTATAAATATGTTCTAGTTTATTAACTCTGAATATCAAAAGTTATAAACGGGTTAATAAAAATTTTTACTTAGTAGGAACTTTGACTTCGCCAAATTACCCCTGTCTACCTTAGATCTAGTTGTGCAAACGAAGATTCTTGCTATTTTCTCGGTATTTGAGTTTGATCCTGTTTGTCTCATTTTACAATAGTAAAAACGGAGAATGTTTATCTAATGTAATACACCAACCGTAAAACACATTGCTCTGGAGGTTTGGTAAAAATCATACTTGGTACAACTCTCTTGTGGAAAATATAAGCGCGAAAATACTGTATATGCCGAAAAATTATAATTAAATATGTCCATTCCCAGGATAATTCCGCAGTGTTACGACTCAAATTCAATAGTGTAAGACTTCACTTTATTTTAAATTTGAATATTATTACAAATCACGTATGAGATCGTTACTGCGTAAATAATTTCCCTAATTATAATACAATAATAATAGCACATTTAATCCAGCAGGTAGTAAAATTGATGGTGGATCATAGAAATCCTCACTAACTGGAATATTTTCTTATAAGTATAAGCAATCAATGAAATATATTCATGTCGAGTCGTTCGACAAATTCGATCAAATCCAAGTACCAATCGTTTTCATCTGTTAAGATGATATGGAATTTGATGATTTTGCTCTTCTTTCTGCCTCAGCAGAAAATTTATCTTTGGATGGGATAATCAAGATACCAATCGTACTAACTCTTTTACGGTGATGCCTTGATAACACCCTTCCAACGGATATGCACTGCACTCGCACCACTCTAAAATGAATATATTTACTGATAAATATTTAAGGAAAATCTAATATATTAAATTTACTTTTGTTTACAAAAAGAAGAAATAATGAAGAAAAACGGCAATAACAAGAATAAATGTAAAATGAATATGAAAATAAAAATTATTATCATTATATTATCACCATTTATACCATGAATAATCAAACCATAGTTGTGTTTATTAGGTCGTTTACCTTTGATGTTAAATCGTCGATTTTGGTTGAAATGGGATCTTGTGTCGTTGAGGAAGGAGAAGAGATAGATAGATAGATAGATAGAGAGAGAGAGAGAGAGAGAGAGAGAGAGAGAGAGAGAGAGAGAGAGAGAGAGAGAGAGAGGGTTGCTTTGAAAAGCGTGTGTAGTGTTATTATCGAAATGGATTTGATGCTCACCGGCTGGTTCGATCTTTATGTACAGTATATAAATGGCGTTTTGGGGTGATCCGACGTAAATTATATAATTACGGAAATTGTATGGCGACACAAATTATATATATTTATTATAATAACTTTGTAAAATATAATATTAGTTTCTCGATACTATTACTATATATCATGAAATTTAATAAAGCATATTCTGATCTGATTCATCAATTGCTTGGAGTCGTACTGTTTCTCGAAAGCGAAATCCAATGACGGAAAAGATGCCAGTTCAGTGAATTCATTGGTCGAATCCTTTTTAAGACATGAGGTTAATAGATATAAAAAAAAATTAAAATACCAGAGGCGAAGTTGGCCACTATCACACATACAGCATATAATATAGACATGATAATGATAATGACCGATCACGGAGTACAAACCCAAAATACCAACACTAAGAGGAGAAGATCAATCGCCGGATTAAGAAAGAGGTTGATGTTTTATTTCGGCGATTATTGGAATATAATGAAAAAACTTTTGGCAGATTTATGCGAGAAATTACTATAGAACATGAGGAGTGGGTCAAACCCAATAAGAAATTGCGATATAAGGTTGAGGAAAAGAAGATAGAATTACAAGAAGCTGAAAAATATCTTGAATATCTGAAATCAAGTTTTGGTCCCATCCTTGCGAAGATATTTTTGCTATAGTACTAGTTAAATCAATAAGAATAAATTCCTACCTTGTAAATTTTCATCAAGTATATCAACATTACACCAATTTTTTGTATATCATCTGGCAATATTAACCAGTTCATCTTATGTACCTGAGGCATTAAATAAACAGATGTAATCCAAAATTATTTTTATTTTTCCAGGACAGTCAAAGAATGATTGTATACCTTGCGTTCAGTCTAAATCCTAATTATAATGAACCTCATTATTATCATTATTCAAACAAACATCAATATATCTAACTCTTCTCGCCTGAGGAGTGAATTCTGTATCACTTTTTGGACGTGACTCGACAGCTCTCTTAGGAAGACGGTGCAAGGTTGCTAATAACGTTCCATTGCATATATTTCTTTTCTTATTAAGCAATGCTTAACAGCCGGTCTTGATAAGCTGACAACAAACTTGAATCCATTAAACAAAGAATGTTCCACAACAGACCACTTAAGCATATTAGATAAGTGTCGGCCTCGTTGTGATTCTTGTTTTACGTGATGATTCCTCATTTCTTCAAGAACTCTTCTATATGGTAGGAGTAATGTGGCAATATGTGGATCAAATGCATACTAGTTCTTCAACGGTTGGATTAGACTCCTCGTCTTCGATGTTGTGTAATTGTATTGTATCATAAGAAGGTGGACCTTCAAGATGTTTCCGTAATATTAATAAACGAAAGTAAAAAAAAAAAAAATTAGCAAAAAATTTGCTAAGCCAGTAGGGAACAGCACAAGTCACAACGAGTATATGGCTAGATTGTGAGTGACTCGCTTCCTCAACACGACCAGCGGTCATAGGGTACAGCTCCCACGAAAAAGCAAAATATGCACGCTGCAGTGATGTAAAGACCAGACACTCTTCTTCCCCGCACCGGCAGCGCAGGGCGTAGCACACCACACTATAAAGCAAAGTATACATGTCGTGGCGTACATTTGCTGTTTCGTAATACTGACCTGCAAATCACGTTGCATCGTTAGTGCCTTTTTGCTCCTGGTTTAAGTTCCGAATCAAAACTTTTAATTCAGCGCTTAGAGCATTTGATATAGTGAAGAACATAAATACTAATAAATACTTACCCCGATAGTGTGTCATGACGCGTTTGTAACATAATAATAAATCATAGAGGGAAATTCTTGGTAAGAGCAATGCTTATATGGATTACATGATAACGCGTTTATATAACACCTGGCACCTTAAGATTCTTCGGAAGCGACTACCATTTATTTCGCAAGCAGAGCAATAATCGTAGTTCTTGGATTTATAACAGGTAAAGTTATCACAACAGCCCAGGCATTTTTTACGGATTCTTTTTTGGTCTCCGACTATGATTGGCATATAACTATATACGGATCTCCGATTCTCATCGCAGAGTTCTCTTAAGCTGGTCGTGTATCAATTGCTTCTCAAAGTCTTCCTCATTTTTGTGGAAGTATTTTACGTGTTGTTTACCTTGTACCTCTATGGCAAATCCATACAGCGAATAGTAAATGTCGAGTTCTAATCCCCGGGAATGTTTGAGCGTTTTTAAGAAGTCTAATCGGTGGATGCTGGAAGGTGGGTCAAGAATATTAGTTATGACTTCGTGACATAAGTTTTCATGTTTATTTAAGCAATATGGACACCGCACCGCGTTTTAGAATACTTCGGTACAATTAAAACTCGCAAACCGTTCATGACCTTTATTGCACATCTATTGCATCAGAACACAGAGATTTACATATTCTGTAGAAAGACATACCTCCTCTACTGTGAGCGATTTCTTTAGCTTCCACAAGACCGCAAAGAAAATACCGGCACATTATGGGCACCATATTCCATACTTATCTAACATTAATGTTTCTAATAGATAATCAATTAATTATTTTTTTTTATTTGAACTTTTCTATACCCGATAATATACTTTTGAAAAATCGTGAGTGCACTTGCAATGGAAAAACACGAACGAAACGCAAAACATTGTTGCTTCTGAGCTCAGTAATGACGCTGCCTTTTACCGAGAAAACGTAAAAACAACCAAATTATTTTGATATTTCGGTGAAGACTATTTACCGGTCATTCCTACTCGCAATGATATAGTCGCAGAAAATGACGAGGGGTTAACTATGATTCTTGAAAACGCTTTAGCCAATCACCAAAACGTACCATTTATGCCCGTTGATGTAGAGGAATCAAATGAGTATATTAACCGAACTCCTCATTACGTTTTACGACTCTATGGCTCACTCATAAAAGGTCAGAAAGCGGTAGTGACGATTACTGGCATTAAGGTTTTCCACATCGTTATCACATAGCGATTCAGTACGATCAGTCAGAAGATTCAATAGCATTCGGAAGTTAGATATTACAGTTCGTTACATTTAGACAAAATTCGGGTGGTTTTTTATTGGATGTCGGTATAAATAGGTTCGGTATAAACAGAGTCAATTGTACTTGTATTAATTTAGGCATATCCCACCCATATTGATGATGGGATATCATTGTGAACATAACCATAAACATGAAGGTTCTGGAGAACCTCAAGAATGTCAGCAGTAAGTTTGTAGGCTTCTGTCAAACCAACCTCCTTGACCTCCATGTTGGTGAATCATATGCGAGCTTTGCGGTATTATAAAAGAGATGAGAATTGTTATAGTCTTTATGGCACAGCATCAGAATGTTTAAAAGGGTACTTGATGACATACTAATATTGCTTACCTGTAGACTTGCAAAAACAACAGTATTTTTATGTATTATGTTTAGAGAGCCTTCTTGCAGATTAAGATTGCAAAATGTCTTTAATAAAACCTTCATTATTGTTGTAAAAATGACTCCCAATTGCTGAAGCAGTTATGGGCTTGTGATGATAAGTGTGGATAGGTGATTGGTTAGAATATTAATACTAATACATTAATATGCAATTAGTGAAGTAACTGCAGATCAAATAAACCCGCTATAGAAATTATGGCTAATATTACTGACCAACAAGTTGTTGGGAGTGGGATATATTTCGAGAATTGTGGATGTAAGCTGTAAAGCCTCCCCTGTAAGTTCCTCTTCTAGTTAATTTCTGATATCCTCAAAGAGAATGTTGACATTCCAGAGCTGGTAGCAGGTGGTTTCAGTCTTGTAATGTGCTCATAAAGATTGATAACAATTTCTTCCTTTCCTATTCTGATAGGGAACATATCTTCAGGAAGGCAATAAAGCAGTTAGGACAACTACAATAATAGGAGAAATGAGTGAAGTGATTGGTCAATTACTAATGGTTCCAATGCAACATGTGAATGGTGGCCCTTGTGGAGGATGCCCCAAGGAAAATACATATGACCCCGATGTTCACACTACTTAACCGAGTGGATATTCGATACAAACGTGGACTTCTTGCAGACTGCGAGTCTGCTAACGTAGGATCAGGCGGGACCCAATATGTTGATTGATGGAATCGTATGCCTGTGAGGTTTGTGAGTTAACGTCTCTCAATTCATTTGCCCATAATATGCGAATCGCCTCCTTGAGTTCAGGACGTAGTATGGATGTGGAATGCGCACTGAGAAGAAGCCTGGATTGCCACCACGAAAAACTTGCAATTGATCATAATAGGCTGTTGCTGCTCCATTGTACTACAATACTGGAAAGCAAAACCTCTGATCCTTGGTATGAAATAAAATCAGTGGATGGATTCGAAAACGCGACGTTATAACTGCGGTGTGTGTAACCATAAGATTGAGTCGGGAAATCGAAAAAATTTCATTCTGCTCACAGTTCTTCTCTGCTAGGATTCATACACGATCCTGCTGAAATTGTAGACCGGAAGTAAATTTATAGAATACAGTCTGCTAATGGATTTGGTGGGTAAAGATAAATTCTTCGTTTCGCGTGCCCTGTAAGCCGGAACATAAGGCCGAGAGATTAAATTAAATGCCTTGACACCTGTACACTATCTTTTTGATACCATATTTGCATTTTTACATGTTTCTTATGCATATCAATCACATTCTCCGCCACACATATGTTTACTGACAAGCTCGCTTTTGGTAGGTCAGACACCAAGTGGCTCTTCCACATGGCTACAACTACATTCCAATATCCGAACACGTACCTCCAGCTACTCCAGCTAGAGTGTATCCATTTTCTCTCGATCCATTTCAGAAAGTAGCCATTGCATCGATACAACGATCCGAGTCAGTTCTTGTCAGTGCGCACACTTCTGCTGGCAAAACTGTGGTTGCTGAGTATGCAATTGCGCAAGCTCTAAGTGCTAACCAGCGAGTGATATATACCAGTCCGATTAAGGTATTTATTGAGCCTAAGAAAACTTTTTCAATTGTAAAGTTTTTCTGATACGAAAAACTTATTAATGTTTATTAAATTTTTTACACAGGCTTTAAGTAATCAAAAATACAGAGAATTACAAGAGGAATTTGGTGACGTTGGTTTATTGACTGGAGATGTTTCTATTAACCCATCCGCCGGGTGTTTAGTTATGACAACTGAGGTGTGCAATTCGCTTATTATTAAAGGGCTGTTATCGTGTGTTCATAAGAAACCTTACTACTTTTCTGCAACTCATATCATTCCGGCTGTCATTTCCACGTGTCTAATATATCGGTAATAGATTTTGCGCAGTATGTTATATCGCGGCAGCGAAATATTGCGCGAAGTTTCTTGGGTAATTTTTGATGAAATACATTATATGCGTGATAAAGGTAAATGTATAGACAATAAGACATTAATTACGATAACATATATATTGACAACTTTTTATATTAGCGCGCGGTGTTGTATGGGAGGAAACGCTTATTCTATTACCACATCAAGTACACTATGCATTCTTATCAGCCACTATTCCGAATGCAATGGAATTTGCAGAGTGGGTTTGTACAATACATGAACAGGTCAGTTATCGATTATCATATACTTCTGCAATACGATTCATGTTTGACTTGTCATTATATACTTATTGCATGCTATTTTGTTAGCCTTGTCACGTTGTATACACAGATTACCGTCCGACTCCCTTACAACATTACATTTTTCCTAACGGAGCTAGTGGTATCTATATGGTAGTTGACGAGAAAGGAGTATTTCGCGAGGATAACTTTCAAGCAGCTCTCGCAGATATGCCAAAAGACAATGAGAAAGAATCTTCTGATAGAAAAAGTCGAAAGACAAAGAAGAATGGAAGAGAAATCACGGATGGTAAATGTTAAGACTGGTCAAGTGGTTGATTATCTGATAGCAGTAATTAATTCAATCGTTTATTAGGACCACCCGATATATACAGAATTGTAAAGATGATTATGCAAAGGAATTATAACCCAGTAATCATATTTGCGTTTGGCAAGAAAGAGTGCGAATTGCTAGCATTGCAAATGAGTCAATTGGATTTAAATGATGGTAAATTAACTACGCTCTATACAATCTTGCCAAATCGTACTTTTATCCCACTTCAATCGTTCTCGCTTGACACCTTTCGTTATAACCGATTAATTCAGATAACGAGCATCAATTAGTGGATCAAATATTTACCAACGCCATAAACGGTCTAAACGAAGATGATAAACAACTGCCTCAAATTGAACACATACTTCCTCTCCTTCATCGGGGTATTGGGATACATCATTCAGGATTATTGCCTCTCCTAAAAGAAGTCATCGAAATTCTTTTTCAAGAGGGGCTCATCAAAGTATTATTTGCGACCGAAACTTTCGCGATGGGTTTGAACATGCCTGCAAAGACAGTAGTATTCTCACAAGTATCAAAATGGGATGGAAAAAACTTGAGATATTTAACTTCTGGAGAATATATACAAATGTCTGGGCGAGCAGGAAGACGAGGTCTTGATGAGAGGGGAATTGTCATTATGATGGCCCATGATAAGGTGGAGCCATCAGTCATGAAAAACATGATCATGGTAAGCTATTTGAACTTGCTTGTCATTGCTCAAGTGCGATGATCTCAACCGACTAATAATATGTGCAATGATTAGGGCGACGCAGACCCCCTGATCTCTGCATTTCATTTAAAATACAACATGATTCTCAACATGACACGGCTCGAAGGTATGAGCCCTGAGCATATGCTTAGAAACAGCTTTTATCAGTTCCAAAATACTACAAGCCTACCGAACTTGGAAGTGGAGTATAAATGTTTGGAAGAAGAGAGAGATTGTATAGTAATACCAAATGAAGAGGTTGTATCCGAGTACTATGAATTACGACAACAACTCGAGATACATTCTCGTGACATGCGGGATGTGCTTAATCATCCTGTATATTCTGTGCAGTTCTTGCACGTTGGAAGACTCGTAAGGATTGAGATGGACGGAACTGATTTTGGATGGGGCGCTGTCGTATCAGTTTCAAGAGCGAAGGTATATATGGCAATACTACTCTTTGTATTTGGGAATGGTATCGTCTTTGAGTATTCCTGCATGGCATGCGCGAGAATGTGCCATTTTATAAGACATTCGGGGTTGTCATAGTCACAGTATTTGTTATCCTTGGCCAGGCGACACTTGAGCTACTCAATTAGTCGGGAAATTGAGATATGTAATTATACCCTCTTCCCTGACTCACTAGCTAAACCGTGCGAGATTATTCTTAGTGGGTAACTGTGTCGTGGGTCCGAAATTCATCCTATATTATCATCTGTTATTTAGGTGTTGAACGTAAAAAAAGATGGAAAAGATAGCAGACGCACACCAAAGGAATCTCTAAGGTCGACAGATTTCGTTATCGATGTATTGCTGAACTGTGACTCGAGTTCGATTGTTGCAAAGAATCCTGATGGAACAACAACTGGAGTTAAGCCACCCCGAGAGGGTGAAAAGGGCACGCCTATGGTATATGTCGAGTACGAGGTCTAATAGTCATACTTATAACGCTTTAATCTTGAGAACTGATAACTACTAAATTCTTACTGCTTGAGCAGGTCATACCAGTATTATTAACAGCACTGAATGGCATTAGTACTGTCCGTGTCTTTTCACCTAAAGACATTACATCCCTCGAGGCTAGAAGAGAAATGTATCGAAATTTGCAAGAAGTTCTCGAGAGGTTCGACAACAATGTGCCATTACTGGACCCAGTGTTGGATATGGGTATTAAAGACGCAGGCTTCGCGAAGCTTATGGAGGTTAGTTTTATTGTCACGTAATATCGATAGCCTTTTAATTAGTATTACCCTAATTTAACTCTTTCTGATAATTAATGATCACAGCGCATAGAGACACTCGAATCGCGTCTCATTAATAATCCCTTGAATAAATCTCCCCGTTTAACAGAACTTTACGAGCTTTATAGCAGAAAAATGACAATACAACAAAAACTCCGCGCACTTCGCAAGAAAATCCAATTCGCCCATTCATTAATACAACAAGATGAACTAAAAAGTCGCAAACGCGTTCTCCGTCGTCTTGGCTATCTCACATCCGCCGACGTTGTAGATATTAAAGGCCGAGTGGCTTGCGAGATAAATGCTGGAGATGAGCTTGTGCTTACGGAATTGTTGATGAATAGATTCTTTAATGACATGTCACCGGAGTTGACTGCGGCTGTGATGAGTTGTTTTGTGGTTGAGGTCGGAGAACTCGATCCAGGTTCATTAAGGGAAGAATTTGCAGCCCCTTATAGGGTTATCAAAGAGACAGCCACGAGAATTGCAGAAATTACTGTTGAGTGTAAACTACAAATAGATATTACGGAGTATATATCAAAGTTTCACTGTGATCTGATGGAAGTAGTTTATTTGTGGACACAGGTAAGACGACAACGTGGCTGTAATTAAATAACACGTGAAGAGCCGTGAGAAGGGCTTATGAGCAGTAGACTTCGTTGACTGGTTTCATTTATTAGGGTGCAAAGTTCTATCAAATATGTCAAAAGACGGACATATTTGAGGGAAGCATCATACGACATTTCCGTAATCTAGAAGAAGCCCTACGATCTATGGTATCCGCTGCCAAGTGTATTGGGAATACACAATTAGAGAGCAAATTCTCAGAAGGTACGCAGATTAGATTGAGAATTATTCGCCCGTTTTCCTTTTAATTGCTAACATTTTCCGTTTCCATAAGCTCTTACAAAAATCAGAAGAGATATCGTATTTGCAGCATCACTATACTTATAAATGGTGAGTCGAAGGTTGATACGACAGTTAGTGGTTGGGTTAAAATGGTTCTATCGATTCGTCAATCATTAATTAACTTATCGAAAATTGATTATTCCAGACTCGAAAAAAGAGACCAACATAGCAAATTAATCTTATTTAAACTGTACGCGCTGCCTTGCCGTACTGCTATACTCAAAAGTGAGGGTTGGGTGGAGTGAGGCTAGGTTGAAAAAAATTGTGTAATCTACCTTTGCTTAATTATTAACGTTTGATAAGGTATTTATCTAATATACAGTAAAAGTAAACAGAAAGATTGTGAAACATATTCACTTTCATAGTCAAATGTAAGGTAGCATAGAGAAATTGTCTAATATAGTAAAACGTCTTTCAGTTAAGATGTAGTGGATAAAGTTTTCATTTACTAAAAAATTCATGGGAGTTGGTTGTAAAGATGACTCTAAAAGCTTGCTTCGGAACTTGACCTGCTTACATTTATCGTTAGGACATTTAGACACTGGAACATCCCAATTTGGGTAATTGTTGCAATCCCCGTTTGAAGAATGTCATCCACCATTCATAGAATACGTCTTTTCAACAATTATACAGCAGCCGGGAAATTCCTCTACTTTAGCCGCTTTTCTATCCAATTCTTCAAACTATTCACAGTGAAGTAATTCATTCTCCAAGTAAGATGCTACCAAATCCAAATCATACATACAATATAATGTAGGAAAGTTCTATTACTACGTTAAAGCCGATTTTAATTTATAGCTTAGATGGGAAGCAGGAAAAAAGCCAAAGAGAGAAAGATTGTATAGATGACTAAAGAATTAGTGACTGAAGGATTCATATTGGAGAGGAGAGACGATTGTCCAAAAATGAATAGATAACAAAATGAATTACCACATGTGAAGGTTATTTTATTTTCCTTTGAAACACGCTACCTTACCAGTCAGCTTTACATTACGTACAGTGGTGTGTAAAAAAAATGCTTCTATGGGCGTGTATAGGTAACTTTTCCTATTCATGTCTTGGTAAAATAAAAATTACTCACAGACAAAAGGATTCCACTTATGACTAATGAGTTGTAAACGTTACCATAATAGATTAACCATTTCAATATTAACAGTATGCATCAATTGTGATGACAAGATCGCGTTTTATTTATTTAAAGTCGATTCTAGCAAGCTCACTCACAGATGTCATTTTCCCATTTTCCCAGGGAGATACAATTTTCTTTATGGGATAGTGTTGTGGCATTCCCTATTTTTGTAACACCCCAATTTATGCCTACACTCTAAATGTGCATGATCAGCAAAAAACGCGTGTCAGAGCGCGAGCTTCGAATTAATGGATTCTTTAATACTTGACTCATCCAACAGCACGTCCATTGACGAAACAACTTTACAATTAACGCCCATTCATGACAATACCCATTCATTACCTGAAGATGATCTTGATCTTGAATTCGAGACGTACATGCTATTGCGAGGTCTTAAATCCTGAGATTATTCCAGTCTTCTATTTTTAATTTTTACTTCTAATAGATGCAGTTGTCTAATTATCTTGTTTTCTCTGCAATCGATAGCCACTGCCGAAGAAATAATTCCAATAGCGTCTCCAAGTAAGGTGTCTTATATCGAAAACAGGAAAAACATCCACGCAACGTATTTCCAAAAAAGCGAGTGAGTATTGTTCACTGGTATTGTCTATCTATGCGCCGTCATGTTATCTGAAGTTTACCCACTATTGGCTTGTAGACGTATTCGAACTCGCAATAAGCTCAATCGAGCCAAAGTATTTACATCAGAGCAATTACGTTCTTTGAAATGTTATGCACGTAAAGAAGAACAAAAGCGAGCTGTCCTCGACACAAAAGAGGATAGTGATGATGACCTTGTTGTTGACTACAGCGAACCACCAAAGATATCGACTACGTTGTTAGCAAGCAAACCCTTTTCAAAAAAGGCCGTATATTCCGACAAAGAATTTTGGGAAGAGTTACGACAGAGAACTGCGTTAAAAACCCTACAAGAAGTACAAGAGCGACAGATGAAGAGACTGGCTTCAGCCTCACTTAGGGAGACAATTGAGAAGGAGATGAGAATGGCATCAGCAAATAATTTAAATCAGACGAACAATGATGAGATTATCTCTGACTCGGATGAGGACTATGTTGAAACAATTTACAGTGGTAGTGAATTTGATTCTATATCCGATGATACAGAGAGCGAGGGTGAGAGTGAGGGCGAAAACGAAAGCGAAAGCGAAAGCGACAATGGAGATGATGAAGACGACGCGGTCGGGCATGACCGCTCAATTACTGAACAAGATTCCGATAACAACCTTGAATTTTCGATAAATTCACCCAAGATCCATGCTGTCCATGAACAAGTTCGACCTCATTCCGAATATGTGGATGTCGAAGCCGTTGTGAGTGAAGACGAATTCTTTGATGCTGGTGGTTCAGACAAGGAATATGACTTTGGTGAAGATGAGAACATGAATGAGTTTATAGTAAGAACAAAGGGTAAGCGAGGTAATGCATCGAAAGCGAGGGCATACTGGGGACAAATCGAACTGGAAGAAGACGTTCAACAGATCAATAAATTGCATATGGATATCAAATCTGGCGCATTAAGGAAGCGGCGAAGGGATGAAGATAATCTTGGTGACTTGTTTAGTAGTGATGATGACAGTGTATACGGACGGCGCGGTAAGTGTTTTGCATTGTCTACCTTTTGTTCAAATATCATGGGTTACGAGTGTTATTAACAATTGATATGTTTATTATTATTATAGGTCGTCGTAGGCATCGTCATTCAGACTCGGACAGCGAGGAGAGCTATCATGTCCAATCTGCTTCGGAAGACGATCAAAGTGTATCACAAACTGATAGGGCTACTATGGATCCCGACCTTGACCTTGATTACGGACATTCGGATGTTGAAATAGAAGCAAGTAAATCGCACTCACAATCAGCGAATATTATGACTAGTGACGAGATTCTTGAATTAGTTAATGAGTCTTACGTTGAGTATTGCGAAGTTGATTAAAGTATGTTTATTATAATGAGCGAACTTTTACGGCTTTGGCCGATGTGAACTGTGTGGTACATTGGGGGCCCAAAATTAAGCATTAAATATTATAATATTGCTTGAACGATATAATATACATGCAGACTGGTTCTTGCAATTTTTTGTGCCTAGCGTGAACCTAAATGACAATGAATGCAGTCAGTAGTGTGATTGCATGAGAGGGATCATTACGACAAGTATCATTTGAAATTCTAACTTGGCAAAGAAAGGCCATTTGCTGTCTCTAATGGGATGAAGAGAATAATAATAATTGAAGAAAACGAACATGCCGTTTAAAAAAATCAGGCATGAATTTATTGAATTGTTAACACATTATGGGATAGAAAGTAAGTACGGGCAGTGTTAGAATGTCTAGCTTGTTCAGTAGTCCAAGACTCAATGTCGAATATTTTCTAGTTTATTCGAGTCGGATCGCTAAAACCTAACCAGTTTGAGAAACACAATATATCGCAGACGTTTCTAGAAAACGCTTCTTAATGGGGAAACTTGCCTTTCTTCGCCAAGTTTATGTTTGTTAGATTTTAAATAATATATCTTCGTCCGTTCGCTCGCTCGCAGCCGATAAGAGCAAAGATACAATGATCTACGTAAACCTCATGAACAATGACGCATTGGTATGTTGTAATAAAACACATTACATGCACTACGTGATCGCGGAGATAACATACAAAATTGGGTTCCATGTTGAAGATATTTTTTTGATTGCCTCATTTGGCGTTATGCAGAAAGTAAAAAAGTCCATGGAACAAAGTACACGGGTTTGTAATACGAAGACGGTAAAAGTTTCCCATGACGTGCAAAATCGGTTATGTGGTACTTTTTAATTCGGTAAATATTTTGATATTATCGTTATAAATAAATACGAGCCCAAACCATATTTGGACCTTTTTTTTTGTAACGTACACATGACAGTATGTCAGGCTCATTATGAGGCTCGATGCCGAATCAGAAATTCCTGCTATTTATCATTTATGAATTATTGTTGGACAAATCTGCATAATCAATTGGTCTGTAATCACGAGTTCAATAGTTTTTCCACGCTTATGTGGTGTTACATTGGCTGAGAGTTATTTCTTTTTGAACAGCAGATCTGTGCAAGTAATTCAGTTGCTAATACTGTAGTTTTTCGATGGAATACCTTAATTATCTGTCATTATCTCATATATTAGACCACACGTAAATAACTATTATTCTATTCTCCTAGTGAAAGAGTCTCAACACAGACTGGGTAATGCCAGAATATGCCAGACATACATAGCTCGCCAAAGCAGATACCTCAGGGGACACCAACGGAGTCCATAAAGCAAGTAAAACAAGTAAAACCGGCAAAACCACCAAAACCGGCAGCAACAACAATAAGACTTGGCTTGAAGGATACGTTGAAGCTATGCGTAAAGTATTTCTGGTATGGCGTTAAGGATGCGTTTGCCTGGCCATCGAGTTTGATCATAATATATATGTGGGTATATATTCAAAAAGAGAAGAAGAAATAAAGAGTCTGATGAAAACCACAACAGTATGGTCATTTACTTTATTAACCCTTTTGTTGAATTGCGTATAGGTCAAACACAATTCGAAATCGGGCCCTAAAGTGTTTTACCTTGAACGGCATCATATTCCTGGGCAGCATAGCGTTGTTTAATAGTTTGACGTTGCCGATATTGCATTTTTTCCTGGGGCATGAAGGCGCGGAAGAAGAAGGAAGAAGAGTGGGTGGCGAGAACTCACCATTCGTTGCAATTATTTTAGGATGGCTTGTGAAATTAACATATCTCGTATGTGTGATAATGACAACTATGTGATTTCATTATTAATATGCCAACCATTATAAACTCTCTCTCTCTTTCCCTCCCCTCTCCTTTTTTAATAGTTATTTTGGATATACCCAGTTTTCTTACTCAGTTTTGTTTTGAATGCTATGTGGTATCAACAAATTGCAGATAGAGCCTACAGATTACAATACGGACAACCCTCTAATCAACAGTTGACTTATTCCAGGTAAGAGATTCAGATAGTCGGATGGGTTGTTTGACCGTGTATCGAATGTTTTCTCGTATTTTTTACCCGGCATTTTTTTTTTACTCTCTTGTTAGATTACCAAAGGTTTTGGCAGATGAGATTTATCGAGCGTTGCTATTGATGAACTATCTCATTGTAGCGACGTTAGTATATGTAATACCGATTATTGGCCCAGCGTTATCTTTTATGTTTATCTGTTGGATATACGCTTTTTACAGTTTTGAGTAAGTCCATATTTTCGATTTCTGGCTTTATAGTTTGATTGACTAAAAAATTTTTTTTCTTTTCCGGTAATCTATTAAATGTGTCGACAGGTACAAATGGACAGCCAAAAGATGGAATTTGGAGCAAAGGATTGATTATTTTGAAGAAAGATGGGCTTATTTTGCCGGATTTGGTATGTATGCTGATTTTTATGTGTCACTGATGGAAGGCTTTTATATGAAATATTCAATTATATTGTCTTTTTAAAGGTTTCCTGTTTACAGGGGTCACATTCTTTGTTAACAAATTCTTTAGTGCAGGCATATTTGCCATGGTATTTCCAGTTGTAAGTACATTATTATATAAATATTATTTCCAATTCGAATACTTTTGATTAATGGTTTTAATTTTTCGCACATATTCAACTATCGCTTTAGTACATTATTATGGCAAGTAACGCTCAGCCGAGGCCACGCAATGATGAGCGTGCACTATTCTCGCACTACGTACCCTATAAATTACCTGTATTCTGGATAGCCAAAAAACTAAATAATAAAGTCATAAGCTGCTTAGGAAGACGGGGATTCGAACGTAGGAGCCGAATAAAAAGTTCATGACTTGTAGTAGATGGATTTGTGAAGATGTCAAGAATTAATGAAAACAGAACTTTTTTATTAATTGCGTAATAGTATGTATATATAAGAAACAGCATATAGTTAAATCACAGAGAAACAATTATATTGATCGAACATTTTCCGGGAATGGCAGTAATGAGCAGACGGACAGACAGACAGACATGAGACAGATGGTTAAGATAATGGAGTAATATACGAAGAATGTAGAGGACAGGAGGAATTTAAACAAACACTTGACACTCAAAGTAAGATCTCATGCCCGGAGAGATCCCAATAAAAAAATATATCGTTTATTACCTTGATATTTATTGGAAAGAGTTTGGTGATTCCAAAGATTAAAGGTTGCTAAGCTTTTGTCAAATCAGGACATTTGTGAGTGGTTTTTTGTTGTCTATTCTTAACTAGAATCAATAAAATCCACTATAGACTTGTCAATTTATAACAGTTAAACAAGCATTATATAACTACCAAACTTCAATCTTTCACCCATTGTTTATATATCACTTGGGAGGGGAATACTCAGTATTATTAGTTTGCCCTTGTGAAACGAATCCTACATTTGTTCGAATCTTTGTTTAGTATTCTGCGATTATACACGTGACAGGGACGTAAATGGTATGTTACACAAACTAAAACTATGAAAAGGATGTTAGGCTGCTTTCCGTGTGGAATCACGATTAAATTCGCGTTCCATCAATTAATAAATATGCCAAGCTATATTTTAAAATCTTCTCGCCTCTTAATGCAAAAAACCTGAGCTCGATTATATAAAAGTTTGTTTTGTTTTTTTTCACTGGGCAACGCAAACGCCCGCAAAAACTTTTCTAGAGATATTCATAACATCGAACCCGACAAAGCAAGCTGCGCTTTATTTTACATATCCACAATTAAATATTTCAAGATAATATTGTACACATGAAGAAACTTATCATAAATTAGATAAAAAACAAGAAAGTCGTCAAAGCCAACCAAATAGCCTGAAGAAACGTATAAGATTAAAAAGAGCAATAACATTATATGTCTTACAGTTTCAACCCCAAACTCCTTGACATCGGTGCTGTTAATAATATTAATAATAAATCCATTGACCTCGTTTCGTAAGACCAACAAAATTGTCAACCTCTATCACGGTTTCACTTCAAGTTTTCTGTAAGTTGTATTTTATAGCCACGATGCATCGAGGGGAACAGCAAAAGGATTGATTGCAGCGACTGTCGTTCCCGCAGCCGATTCCATCACTGTTTCACTTAAAAAGCTTTCCACTCTCCAAATACCTTCGCAAAATTTGCTCCAAAGTCCCATGGTTTATGGTTGTCACAAAAATGCTAATGACTTTAAAAGCATATATCCTCAATGAGATTTTAGTTAAGGAGTTTTGAACAAAATCGCGCATTACCTGAGAAATTGGATAAAATGTTTTTGTTGCTATTTTAGAGACCCGTTTATCAGAAAGAACAAGCAACGAACGTTATGATTTCTTTCGGGGCTTGTTGCGTTTTTTCAAGGTATTTGATATAGACTTGTTGTAACAGTCTAAACCGAAAAGTTTCTAGCGCGTTCCCACTACCTAACTATTGCTTGTCTAAAAGAGGAATCCTTGATTAAAACTCACACGAGTGGCTTGGAAATGAGTGGACAGAACCTAAAGAAAGCGAACACTGTGAGATAAAACTCAAACCCACGGCCAAACCTTATTCCGATACAACAATATCAATATTTTACTTTGTCCTATCGTTTGACAAATATCTACATGTCCATTATTATATTGAAAGGACACAATAGACATTGCCAATTACTTATTTATTATGTCATTTTCTGCTGTAAGTCTCTTTGAGCTAAAAGGCTTCTTAGTTGTCACAAGTGCTTGCCTTCCTCACTCGAATATTCTTCGATAAGTTTTTCTGTAGTATTGCATATCCAATTATCATCCATCTTAATTTACACACACTTGATCGGCGAATATGCTGTACGACTATAAAAGTGTCGGAAGAAAGTGTTGACTGTAACAAATAATTGACACAAACATTTATGTAATACGAGTGTATTATTTATTTGCTTATCTTCACTCGCGACAGTGCCCATATAAGGAAATACGTCACACAATTCATAAATTCACTTTTTATATTTTATCGAAGTCCTAAATGTCGGGTTAGCAAACGTTGCACGGATTGCCAATCAACGAAATAATGCATACTAATACTATTAGCTTCAGCAGTTAAGCACTATGGTAAACCTCAATGTGACTACAACGGCAAGAACGATAGATCGCAGAAAGAAAAGAGTAGACGATGCTTTGTTGCATGCGGGTTTATTACAGTCCCCCGGCAAAAAGTAATAGCGGATCATGCATTTGACAGGTTATTTTTTTTTTTTTTATTATTAAAGATGAACATTACAGCTAGAAATTTTATTGATTATTTGGTATGGCCTCCTAATAGTTTTGATCTTCTTTTCTGGTAGCTCGCAAGATACTTGAGTTTTATCCAATCCGCGTCTTTTCTTGTAACTGCTTGTTGTAACAAACAAGCTTGACATCAGTTCTCTCTTGTATCTGTCAAGCCTAAAAGGGAATATACTTTCAGCATACCTAATATTGAGGTTAAGCATAATGATGGCCATCATATTAATATATACTTGTTCAAAATTAATCTGGCACTCTAACTCTTCTCAATCAACTTTTTTTCTTCAAGCAACTTTGTTTCCATAATAATGTTTTGCCTTTGCATTTGCAGATTGCAAAAACGATTTGTTTGTTGCAAGTTTTATGATTATATTTTGAGAAAAATAAGATATGGCAAATTAATTATACTATTTGCATGGCATGTATAAAAAACAATAAGACTGTCATGAACAAGTAAGCAACCTTTCTGGACAGTTCGCAAAATAGCCCACAAAGTGTTACATGCATGAATGCAGTACAAACGCACAGTCTTTCCCTCACATACATGCAGTTCGTAAAGTAGTCCAAGAATACTACTGCACACTCGCACAACACAGACAAACATGCAGCAACATAATATTAATAATAAGCGTTGCTAAAAATAGATCAATTAGTCTTTTCGAAAGATATAAAAGCAACGTAGATTTCGGTTTGAAAAGATACGTTTAATATCTTATTTTCCTGAAACTATCCGATATAGCCGTTAAACCACGACTCCCTTATATTGGAAAGGGGCAACGCTTCTTGTCTCGTGATTACTCCCGTGGGCAGATACATAATTAATTGCTAGATACATAATTAATTGCTGTCTACATAACGCGTTTGTTATAGCTATAATAATATCCCTCCCTGTAGACTGCCGATTCAATTCCATCCAGAGGCATACTCGAGGACGGATTGATTATCGAGGGATAGTGTCTACGCATCGACGCTGAAGTTGTGAGTAGGAAAGCCTAGTTTAAAGGTCACTAACTGTTATTATGGTTTAACTAAAAGTAGGAGAGCCACATTGCGCTCGAAATAGAGAGTCAATTAATAGTCAATTACTCTCCCGTGATTGTTGACTCGACAATAATAACCTGCTCACTGATGCTTTAATCTTCTAGGAGGAGACACGCATTTGCAATAAGTTATTTGCAGTCTTAGCTGCACAACAAAGAAGGGATACATATTTATCTGATGATGAGATGTGCAAGAAAGTTAGAAGGGTTTTGAATAAAGATCAAATTACATGGCTTGAAAATGTTATTCGGAAAAAAAGTTGGAATCCGAATTTACACAGTACATCGATCAAGATCCCAATTCTCACTCGTAAATTCTTCGTCCCTGAGAACCCGTTCAATTCCTATTACAAGTGATTCTCGATATAAGAAAGTGATTGGACCCAACAAATTCCTTTCTTATAGCGAAGGGTTCTTGTATCGGGAGCCGCTTGTATCATGAAGCGCATGACATTGCCTGGTAAATATTGGCACATTTGTAAGTGTTTATTGTATGTCAACCCTTCACATGACATTATTACTTCTATGAGTAGCTCCATCCACCTGGAAGCACCATTAAGAGTGTTACGACGAGTCGGTCTGATGAATCAGTCGATGAAGTCATGTGATAAAATCTTCCTCCGCAGTCAAAATACTACCCGCAGCGATCTAATTTTAGTACTGTCACACTAAAGTTCAAATGTAGTAATTTTCGGTAACGGAAATTGGTGATAGTACAAGATACAAACAATAGCTAAACTTAGTAATTCTCGGTCACTGAAACGGGTGATAGTACAA